CGCCTCTTTCATCAAGGCCTGTGGCCAGATTCAGATAGTGGGCCGATTTCCCTTCGGCATTTTCGGCCTCTCTACCCAGCATGCATTGTCGGCCTCACGTTCGAGTGCCCAGGGCCTAACTAACTCAGAGGCCCTGGGCTTTCAGCATTTGCTGAAATCCGAGACTCGGTGCACTCCAACCAACTGGCGTGCTGCAACTGTATGACCCCACTTCGTGAAATGTTGGCACAGAGGGCTCTTGTTGATTTGCTGGCCCGCCTTCACTTAGGGCGGGCACGAGGCTTGCTGGGGCCTTAGCCAGAACATGTACATCATGGCAAGGCCCCTACTTGAGGGCTCAATCCTCACAAAAATACTAAAGAAAATAGTAAAATAGTAAAATAGTAAAATAGTAAAATAATAAAATATTAAAATAGTCAAATAGTAACCCTATACCCTAACCATTAGGGGCAAGGGGCAACATGAAATCTCCCCTTCACAGAGAGAGGAAAACTATGCTTGCAGGGGTCCCCTCTAGATAGTCTTAGGAGTCGGTAGTGGAAGGTAAACAAACAGAAGTTGAGAGAAGAATATAGACAGTTGTGATAAAGAAAAGAAAAAAAAAATAGTAAAATAGTAAAATATTAAAATACTAAAATAGGAAAATAGGAAAATAGGAAAATACTAAAATAGTAGATATTCAGTGGTGAAGTGGGAGCAGTGTCAAGGAGAAAAGCTACATCTAATTCAGAAAAGTACCAAATGTTCACCTCTGGGTAAAAAGTTACTTCTGTTACTGAGGTAGTAGCAGTTGGTTTTCCTATGGGTAAAGATCATTTTACCCTTATTGCATACCCACAGAGAGAGAGAGAGAGAGAGAGAGAGAGAGAGAGAGAGAGAGAGAGAGAGAGAGAGAGAGAGAGAGAGAGAGAGTGAAACAGCAGTTGGTTGAAGTTGAGTCCAGCCTGATAAGTGCCTCAACTTGCATAATCATCTTTGGGCATAATCATCTGGGCTGTGCATTTTGTCCTACTTTGTACATTTTTAACCGTCACTACCATTGAGTTATGGTCTTATGGCATTAAGGATTTCCGTGGTTAAGCCCATAAAGTTTCTTTTCCTACAAATAAAAAAGGCAAGGGCAAAAAAAAAAAAAAAAAAAAGACACCAATCGCCCTGCTTAGCAGGATGTTTCCCTGTCTTTTCTGAATGAATAAATAATAAATATCCATGACTGTACGCTGCAAGAAACAACAGAGTTTTTTCTTCGAACTCAAATAAGCAAACAGTTACATTAACAAACAAACAAACAAACAAACTAAAAGTGTCAACGATCAAGGACCAAATGACGCGAACAAAGCAATAAATGAGTGCAGAAATGAAACAGTGAACAAGCAAAATAAACGAAAACAAACCTCAAATCGCTCCACAACCCAAGCAGACGAACACGCAGACGGAATGGTAGATAGATTTCGCAAGAAGTGAACAAATGAATTGCCAAACAGACATGCAGGCGTCTGAACGAGCGCAAAACTAACGTGCGCACAAGCACAAGCAGCGGACCAAGGTGGGTGAGAGCAAATGAATCGCGAAACGAACATCCAGACATCTGAATGAACGCGAAACTGAAAAATGAGCGGACCAGCAGAGGACCAAGCTAACAAAGCAGGCGACCGAACCCAATCCCCTGGGACAGCAACCAAGTTGCCCAAGCAGAGAAGGGGAGACGAGGGGCCCAAGAAGGAGGGGAGACCGAAG